CATGAAATCAAATTTACATATCTTCATAAATGTTCTATTACTTTTTAAAGCAGTATCATGTGATTGAAATGTTTCTGGGACTGTGTAGTGAGATTAGTCAGTGAAGACTAAATCTGGAACATAGTGGATTCATTTTACATTATTCACAAAAGAAACCTGTTGCAATGAACTTCATGCTCATCGACTTCTTTTCTACATGAAATTTCCTTTATTTAAAGAAGAAAAACAAATCCTTAAATATAACTACTCTGCACTAACACAAACATACTGAAATTAATTACAGTGAATAAATTTCCAAATCAAAAACCTGGATGTTTCCTCTGATGTTCAGAACATATTATCTAATAGAGATGTAAAATTTTGAAATTAAAATTATTATGGACATTAAGACCACAGGATAGTCAGAAAAATGGGCAACTACCCCTTCAAATGGGACACCAGCACTAAAGCTTCTACATGGTATCTCAGGACTTTAGGAGACTCCAAAATAACAACCACTCATGAGCAAAAGGCCTCTGAGGGGTTATATAAACCCCTTTTTGCCCAAAAATTTTCTTTAAAAACTATTAATCAAATAAGCTTTTGAAATGTATACATTAATGCTTTTTCTTTGTCTGATTTAAGTGAAAATGTTAAATTTTACTTAGAAAATGACTTTTTAAAAGCTAACAAAATACAGATGCATACAAAGATTTCTGAGTGAGGGTACTCACTAAACCATTTTTATAAGAGAAGTATTGGAAGCAACCTAATGAAGAAGGATTAAGAAAGTAATGGCATTTCCATGAGAGGTAACAAAATGCAACAATTAAAATTTATACACTGAAGTAGTGGTGTGATATGAGAAAATGATCACAAATGTAAGAATATTTGTATATACATGTGAGTATATATATGTATAAACATACACATACAACATAATCTAAATTAATTCAAATTGGATAAAACAGACTAGAAAAAATATACAGACATAAAATTATATATCTGTATAGAACTAATTTTTAATACATAATTTTGGTAACATTTTCATTATGAAACAATTATAAATGAATGAATATTATTTACATTTATGATTCTTCACCTTATTATAATTTTATATTTTATATAATGGTTTTCATTTATTAAAGTTCTATGACCCTGAACTTCTTTCTACTATCTAAAAAATCAATTTGGCCAGATCTTATCGAGTATAAATGATAATATGTAAGAATCTCACCAATTGAGGTTTCCTGAAATTTTAAAGTTTGTCTTATTTGCTGTTGTGCTTTTCCTTTTGCTCCAAGTTGCACCATTCCAAGAACCAAAGTTGTTCCAAGGGGGGAGAATATAATATTATTCTTATGAGCTGAACAAATAGCTCGATAAAGATCCACTGCAAATTCAGTATTTCTTTGAGCCAAGGATCTTGGGGTTTGACTTCCAGAAAAAGTCAAAAGGAGACTCCACAGTAAGATTTTATCCATTTTGACGTCTGTGAATTAATTCAAAATTTATTAGTTTTCAAATAACCACAGTTTATCATAGTAAGCTTAACAAAAAACTTTCTACCTATTAGAACTTCCCGTCTTATTAAGACAAATTATCACAAGAAGATTCTAATGCCAGTTTCTAGACCAAGCAACATCTATTAGGAGAAATAGGACATTGCTAATGACATTTTTTGTATTTCTTCAAGAACCAACCCAAAATACATATATAGCAAAAAAATTACTAATCGTCAAATATTCTCCAAAACTAAGCTGGGGAGTCATTATCTAGATATTTCAAATTGTTTTCTAATATATGTAGTAAACTATTTGTTTAGGTATACAATTCACAAAGGAAGAAGAACCCAAAATGCAATCCAAAACAATTGTTAGAAAGTAATGTTTTGGTAAACTGTGTATAAATACATCTATACTATGAAGCAAATGTTTTATCGAAGATTAAATCAGTACATAAGGTTGTAAGTAGCAGCACAACAACAGTAAAAGCTAAAGGCTAAGAGAAGTTTTACATACAAAATAAATTTCTGTGTATCGTTTTCTAATACATTCAATATTTCAGAAGATTTTTGCTCAAAATGGTTTGTAGATATATAGTCAAAATGTTATTAGTACTTTTAAGTCATCATGTGGCAATCCATTAGACACATCTTTTTGCGTTTGGTTTGTATTAATAAATAATATTATAAAGGATATAATTTTTTCCTTATAGAATCTGAAAGTTATCTTCTCATTGTTATTAATAATCTTAATAATTAAAATTTACATTATTTGATCAACAGTTTCTCCAAGAAAATTTCTAGGTACTTATTAAATCGCAAACATACAAAAAATTGGTTTTAAAAATTCACTTACGTCATTGGCATTGGATCATATCTCATCGGAAATCACAAAGTATTGATGAACTAAACAATCTAATGAATAGTTCTATAAGAATTTGATATTTAAATTTATAGTGATACCTTTTAAGGAGAATAAAAGTAATGCGTTAATTTGATAAATTTAAATAATGTTTACCAAAGTGAATTGAAATGTCATTCCTATCCTATTAAGCACTCCTAGTCAATATTATTGTATACATACTTTATTCAAAAGCTATTTAATTTTAAGGTACTTACCCCAAATTCACTTTTGATCCTTCACAGTAATAACTAAAATATGCTTCCTGGGAAGCACTAGCACATGCAACACCTGACAGTCAAGGCCAACTCTATTTATCTTGAACGTCGCTCGATTAATTCCTCTAAAATCAAAGCAGGTGTTCGCCACATTTGTATAGGACTAACATGATCAAGTTAATGATCAGTGATGAAATATGCAAGAACTAAGAGAGAAAATAGTAGAATTTTAAAAGATAACATTAAGTTTATGTTATTATTTCACTCATTATTTCATTTCTTTTATAATAAATAGAAACAGAATTTGAAAGAATGTGCCAGTGCTTGTAAATTTGCTAGTAATTAGTTCTTTTTGTTTCTCACAGGACTCCCACATCAGATTACCAGTGTATTCCATCATAAATATTTCAGAATGCCTATGAGAAAAAGAATAAAGCTAAATCGAGTCCAGAACGCTGAGACAAATTACTGCTGCATTTACAGAGTTCTCAACAATTCATCAAATTATACAACAGTCAGAGGAATATTTGTAGATACATGGCCCATTTGAATCTTTAAGAAAAAGACTGGATATTGAAGAAATATAATCTTTATGTTAAACAAAAAGACCAGGTTAAGATTATTGATTGATAAAATTTTATCAAGTTAATACTATTCAACATAGGTAATTTGATAATAAACATTGGTGTTACTTTTGTGTTTTTAATATTTTACATATTTTTTTGTCTACAAACAGTTCATTAATTAAAAAAGGATGCATAATTGAATGGGTTTTGATCTCATTGTTTTAGTTCTAATTCATCACATCCTTGGCAATCAGATATTAAATACATTGAATTATTTGTCAGTGGCCTCTGATAATAGAAGTGAAAAATTCGTTCCAGTTACAATTAAGCAAGTATTCACTATTGATTACTAAATATAATATTAATTCTGATAATTTCATGAAAAATAAATAAAATGAATATAGGTGCCTTTAAAAGGAATTTATTTTAAAATACTTTTTCAAGGACCCTGTTAACTTCTTCCAGCATCTTAATAGGGTTTTAGCTTAATAACAGACCTGAGTAGCATAATGACCATTACTGGCTATAATCTCCTAATTTACTGAAATTGTTAATTTACCATGTAAGTAAGCATCTTCACATTTTTTTTTTAAATTTTAGATTATATCCTAATATCACTTACTCTAATATAAGCAACTTATTTCTAGCTTTTGAACTCTGTTTTAGTTCAAATCAATAATGTCGATGGCATTTACTCTAATATAAGCAAACTTATTTCCAGCTTTTAACACTGCTAGAGATAATTTTTCAAAACAGTTATACCATACAAGAACATTATCTTTTTTTGTTCTGCTCTGCAATTTATAAATAATAAGTCCTAATGTCCAAGACTATCATTCAATCAATGCTTTTCTACCATGTAGTGACACCAGTAAACATTCATCACAAGTACACTTGGCTACCAAATTATTACGTCCCACATTTCTTGGATCATAATGTGATTTACCAAGGAACAGGCTATCGGTTTTACTTCCAGTGACAGAGACAGATGCTCTGTCTTAGTAAGATCATTTAATGAAGTTGTTCTGTAAGGACCTTATGTGAGAGCAGTTCAAGAAGACTGTATATTTTCCTGTCTCTTAGGGAGTAAAAAGCAATGGCCATGAATTTCTCCTCCCTGGTTTAAGCTCTTTTAATAGACAATAAAGATATCACAATTGACTATAAAATATTACTGCAAAACTTTTAAATATTCTCACAAATCTGTTCCTTCTATAACTCTATTTTGCCCTTAGAGCATCAGAAAAAAAATTATCATTAGTCACAGCCAAAGAGTCTTTGTATAAATTTGAACACCATAGCTACCTCCACTGTAAAAAAAAATAAACCTGGGAATATGTATAAAAATAACAGCAAGTGGTTACAAGTTTAAACTCATTATCTTTCTTAGCATTTTATAGTTTTTTTTAAAGTAAAAATTTTTTAATTTCAAATTTTAAAAACATATAATTTAATTTCAAATTTTAAATTCAAAAAACATATAATCAAATGCTCTCATTATTAAATAAAGGACTTTGTTAAAAGTTAATTTTTCCATAGATTAATTTCAGGCATTTTTTTCCCCCTATTAGTTTGTCCATATAGTTTGGGTGATAGGAGGAAAATGTTCTGAAGAGAACAGATTAAATTATATTTAGTGTAAATCTTCATACTACAAATAAAGTAGCCCATTGAAAATTATGGCACAATCTATTTTAATGTGACAAGTTCTTTTCACTGTGAAAAATGGATCTTAAATAATTAAATCTAAATGTTAATTTCAGAAACACCTTATAAAGTCTTCAGTTCTATTAACATTTGATAGGTGAGACCATGCTACCTACCTAGCACAATTACATGCTGTAAGGTATAAAGGAAGAGTAAGACATAATAACTAAATGTCTTTTTATTTTTCCTTTTGTGTGTGTTTTGTCCCTAAGTATTAGAAACAGTAACATTAAAAGAGACTTTTCTACCTTTAAAAGCTGTATTCTCATTAAATATACTTGTGAGACAGCTCTTCTTAATTCCTTTCACAGAAGGAGCACTGAAGTTAATTAAGGATGGAATTAGAGTCACACACAGCATAGTACCTTGCACACATAGTAGGCTATAGAGAGAAGGTCTGTCTTTATGAACCAAAATATTTCAGACTAATCACTTCAAACAAAGTCATGTGTAGGGGTAAAAAAGATAAAATATGTTTAGTAAAAGAATTTCCAAATTTACCAGAAAAACTAGTGGGCTCATTCAATCTTTGCTTAATACACCACTGCATTTTATGTGCCTTCACTTTAGAAAGCTGATGGCGGGACAAGTGTATTCTCTTTATTTGTGTATACCTGGTATCTAAAATAGTCCCTTGCATATGTCTTCAATAATTGGATGGATGATGGAGGGAGGGAGAGATGGAAGGATGGAGGAATGGATGGAGAAAAGAGCCTTCGCAAAGTATCTGGTACCCATATTACAGCTCTTTAACATCTTAATATTCCTTTAAATTTCTGGAAATGTGGCTTAAATTTTACTCCACTGTACTGTTACCAATATATGATTCATAAATCATATGCTCTAAGTTTGAAATGATGGATTGTCCAGTCAAATCTCCCAACCAGTGGAATAATTCTCTGCAGTAACCCTGCGAGAGTGTTAATCAGCCTCTGCCTGAACATTTCAAGAAATCCTTTGTCCCAAGCAACGTTTTCATTTTTAAAATATAAATATGCTTTGAAATACTTTTAAATTTACAGAAAGTTGCTGGTATAATACAAAGAACTACCATCTCCCTTTCTTCTTTTCTCTGTTTTCCCAATTGTCATAATTTCACCACATATATGTGCTCTATCTATAACTAATCTCATCTATTTATGTCTATCTATATTTCTCTCTCCCATATGTGTGTATACATATATACATATTATAATTCATATTTTTAATTGTGCGAGAGCAAGCTGCAAACATAATTTTATATCACTCTTAAATATTTCATTATCTATCTGTCTGTCTTTCTGTCTATCCATCTGAAACCATGAGTTCATACTGATATCTATAACCTCAATCCAAAACCTCAAGTTCCTTTGTAGTTTTTCTTTTTACGAATTTTATAATTACCTTCGACAACAGTGAGATATCTGGCTCTCATTATCTTCAATATATTTACTATTTTTATTCATTTATTTATTCAGTACTTACTTGCTCAATGTGACCAATCTCCCAACCACCGGATCAGCTCCTCCGCTCACTCCCTCTGCCTTCCCGTCCTTTAATTTCCCCTCCCTCTCACTCCTCCCATACTCTTGGGTCCAGTAAGCGTCATCTGCTGAGTCTTCTCTAGGCTCCTCCTTCTTCCTTTCATTGCCCTACAGTGGGCCCTCTGCCAACTTCTCTGCACCAAGATGGGAAGTGACAATGAGGAGAAAAGGGAAAATGAGAAAACTTTTCATGTTTTAAGAGGTATTAGGAAGCAATTCTAGAATCTGCCTTGTTAAAATGGTGCCCATCAGTTCTACTTCTATTCTTTTTCTTCACTGGAGCTTTGAAATATTTGAGGATTGGTTGTATCTCCCATAAATTCCCTTTCTTAAACTAGACCTCCCATTTCTTTACTCATTCCTCTTGAACATAATTTCTAGGGTCTTTACCACTCTGAAGACATTCTCCAACATTTATTGATTGATTCCTTCAAATATATTTTTCTCCTACACCTTTCCCATGTGTGACTATCACTCAATGAGAAGGGAAAGCAATGTATACAGAATGCCTGCCTCAGGATGCACTTAAATGTAGACAGAGTGGTAGGCAACTGTCCTCTGAAAACTTTTCTCTGCCACCCTGTCCATGAAATTAAAATGTTTACTCCACTGATACTGTAAGTTCTATTGTTATAGTTCATTCCACAGACTATACTAATAAACAGATCTGGGTTCCAACCCAACATTGCCATCAATAACTGGATGCAATTACTAGACAGAGTAGGCCCGTATACATTGTTAATTATTTTATTTGTGTGTGTTATTGCAAAATTCTTCTTAAAGTACAAATATTTTTGAAAGGACTCTTTAAAATACTAATATACAATAAATAACTTGTTATGGGAATGATATTATTAGTTATTTGTACAGGAGACAATAAATAAAGCAGCATAAGAATATTAGTTGCCTGATAGATTATATTTATTTTTTAAAAAATGGATCAAAAAAGTAAAGCCTATATTTCAAAACCAAACATTTTCTACTTAACTTTCCACATAGAGTGAGTCCTTTATATAGACCCTGTCCCTTTGATTTTTAAAAAAAATTTTTGAGGCTATTATTTCTTTGGTTGTACTATGCCACTAAATTATAGAGTACAGTATAACAAAGTATAGAAGTAGAACTTATCAGTAATTTCTCAATAAGTACATAGAAGAATGGATATGTCTATGAGAATTAATAGAACAGATGATAATGACAAGGTCTAACTGTATTATCAGAATTATTTAAAAAAATAGAAAGTGTAATTAAGTGGGAATTGTTGTCTTAGTCAAGTCCGTAGGTATTTACCATGTCAGTACTTTTCTTATTTCGTTTCCATTCAGGTTTTACAATGAAAACTGACCAAAAATATTTGTCTATAGAAGCCATTAAAGGTGTAATTGGTAGAAATACTTTATTATGAAATTGTATCTTTTTACATAAAAACATTTGAGAATAGATAATATCAACTGATACTATTCCCTCTTTAATACAATCTTTCTTTTATTGAGAACACAGAAAAAGTGCAAGGTGATGGGTAAAGCAGAACTAAAACATCATCTGAAAACAAAACTTCCTGAAGTTGGAATATAAAATAAAAAGGGGGGTCAGAAATCTTGATTCCTTTTCTGCATTTTATACACGTACTTTATGTGACAATAAAATATTTATTTTTCTTTCAATTATAATTGCTTCTTATTTCTTTTTATCTTCACGTCACTACTTGTTTCTTGATATAATTGCTTGGCTCTTTGTTCACGATCCAGAATGTCTTTGGGAAACAGGTTTTTCTCAACAAATACAGCTTTCAAAGCTACAAAATGATGAGGAAAATGACATGTAAATTATACTTGGGAAGAGACTGAATTAAATGAAATAGTAGGGTAAAAATTCTCAAGTTTCACTTGTTTTTAAAAGCAAGAGTTTACTTGGAGAAAATTTCTCTTAAGCTTCTGCTAGTCCTTTGATTTCAATTTCAATTTTAACAGTTAGTTCTATTAATATATTTATAGCATGATAGAGAGCCACCATTTAACAGTATACTAAAGAAGATTGTTTTCCATTTTTGTTTTTCAATCTACTTAACAGCTATCAAGGACTCATAAAAATCCAAGAGTCAATTATTCTGTATTGAAATAAGACAATTAGAATAATCAAAACACAGTTTGACTGTCTGCATGACTAAACAATCACATCTGCAATCACATTCTTATAAGATACTTTGATCTGCAGGGATCCATGGCTTCAGAAAAAAAAAAAAACAGTCAAATTATTCCCATGAGTGGTTATATTGTACATCAGTGAGAAGTAGGAGGAAATTGTGCCACATATTCAAAAAATAATTTTGAATGTTATGTACAACACTGTGTGCTCAAGAGTATATGGGGCACAAACATGATTAAGTCATAGGGTTTCTTCCAACTGGTAGAAAGTAGAAGCAGTGCCCAAATGACCAAAATATCATATGCAATAAGAAACAGTTTTAAGAAAATATATACAACATAAATTGTGGTTAAACATACAAAGAGATTATAAGAATATGCAGAAATCAGAGGAAAAACTTAAGAAAACAGATGTTATCTGAAGGGAACTTAAAGTCCGGATAGAATTTTAATTGATAATAAGGACCATGGAGGTGAGAAAGGATTACGAAAGGGGAAAAGGGAAAGGCCTAAAGAGCAGGGCTGAGGATCCCTAGGAGAGGGAGGAAATTCTGCCACTGGACAACAGTGTCTGCCTTTGCCCGTGGAGTCCCCCTCTCCTCCTTTCCTGACTGCCCATGGACAACTGCTTCAGCCTGTGCCCAGCCTGTCCATGATCTTCCCTTCCTGACTCAGCCCTACTCCTTTGGACTTACTCAACCAATCCTCACAATCGCATAAGCCAATTCCTTGGCATAAATTTCAATACATGGTCCTGCTAGTTCTGATTCCCAGAACACTGACTGACCTACTTGCCATGAAATACACTGTTTATTACAGAACAACTGCAAGGGTAAAGTGTTCTAAGAGGCAAATAGACTGGTTTGTCAAGTTTCCTGTGGTTTATGACTGGAATATGTTAGATATGCCTTGTAAAGACAGTTTATGTTTATTTAAATATACAGCTTATCTTAAAGCACCCTCAAGTTCCCATAGAGGTGCTAACATAGGAACCTAGAGTCTCACACTGCTTGCTTTCTGGGCCCCACAACTTACTAAGAATCTCTGAGAGTAGTTCTCTAAGAAGGATTAGCAATAGCCAAAGTATATGAATTCTTGGGGGTCACATCCCTTCTTCAAGCCCTCTAGAGGCTTCCTTTCATGCTTAAACCAGGCTACAGGGCCCCACATGGCCTGATCCCAACCTCCCCCCAAACTCCTCTTGTACCAGTCTCCATATCTCACTCACCTTCAGCAAGACTGACCTTTCCGTCCCTCAAATGTGTCAACCTTATTCCCACCTCAGTAGCTTTACACTTCTGTGGCCCCCAATTCTTTGGAAGTCTGCTTCCTTCTTTCAGGATTCAGCTCAAAAAATCAGAGAGACAAGCACTGATGCTCCCTCTAGCACATTCTATCACATTATTTTCTTTATTTTCTTCATACCTCTTATCAATATCACTATTCAACTCATCTTTTTACATTTAGTTATTTATTCATTATCTATCTCTTCCCCAGGTGATAAATTCAATGAGAGTGAAGACTTTGTCTGCCTTTATACCCCCGATACCCCTAGCACCTAGCATTGTGTCTGGTACATGAGAGGTGCAACAAATATATTCGTTGAACAAATGAACAAATAAATGAAGAACCTCCAGGTGGGGCTCGGCACTGTAACTTTAGAATTCTTGAATTCCAGAGACCTGAGGGCTAGCTAACTGTGATAGAAAAGGGGTCCTCTGTGTCATGCATACCTTTACCACAACCCCTGCTTTTAAATTCAACATCTCATGTTATTACTAACCATTTACATTCACTATTTCCTACCTGGAAAAATATGACATTTATACATTCATCGCTTCATTTGATAGTTGGATGCCTGACAAGATTTGTTACAATGTTTTTTTAAAAAATGAAAATATAAGATGTCGTGGTCATAAGCTACTAAAACATTTTCACTAAAATAAAATGACTCAAGTGGTTTTAATGAAGCAAAGTTAATCTTTTGTCATCTGATCCTTCCCTTGCCTCTGACTGGCCACTATCAGATGAGCAATAGTGGCAAACCTCACGAAGGCAGCCTGGAAAGAAGGGACTTGCTGACTATGCTAATATAGCAGTGCAGTGACCAGCTATTGTTAGTTTATGGGTGTACAGAATTCTGAACACCTCTCTAATTCACATCCCCCATCTTATTCTAGTCCTCTAGATAAGTGCTTTCAAACGTTAATGTGCATTAAAAAGTCACCTAGAAACCTTTGTTAAAATGCAGGTTGTGATCAATAGATGAGACTTGAGGCCTGTGATGCTACATTTCTAACGCGCTTTGAGTGATGCCCATGCTGTTACCCACAGCCCGCATTTTGACGTCAAGGCTCTAATTCTAAAACTAGATGCTAGAATAGGATTGCTCAGCTGTCATTAAACGTTAGCCATCATTTAGTAACAGGTAACAAAGCAACAGCCTGGCGAAGATTAATCAAAATGCTGTCATAATCTTCATATGACTCTTAAATAATTATCTGGAACCCGTTGAGCCTTTTTTTTTTTTTTTAATGTGGAATAGTATTTTATTGTCTGCATGGACCACAGTTTATTTATCCATCACCTATTGAAGGACATCTTGGTTGCTTCCAAATTTTGGTAATTATGCATAAAGCTGCTCTAAGCATCCATGTGCAGGCTTTTGAATGGACGTAGTTTTCAGCTCCTTAGGGTAAAAACCAAGGAGCATAATTACTGGACTGTATGATAAGAATATGTTTTGTTTTATAAGAAACCACCAAACTGTCTTCCAAAGTAGCTGTATAATTTTTCCTTCCCACCAGCAATGCATGAGAATCCCTGTTGCTCCATATCCTTGCCAGCATTTGGTGTTGTCAGTATTCCAGGTTTTGACCATTCTAACAGGTGTGTGGTGGTATCTCATTGTTATTTTACTTTGCATTTCCCTGATGACATACAGTTTGGAGCATCTGTTGAAACTTTTTGAAAATGTTTTTCCCATATTAATGACTTCTCTTTTGTGTGACCCAACCCAAATTTTGGTGGGTATGTGTGACTTTCAAGATGATTTGGTGCTATCGAGTAAGCACATATGTAATAATAGGAAAGATTTTTACATCTAAAATGTCTCTTGAGTTCTGTGCTCATTATAGATCTTTAGTTATTTAAAATTTCCTGGAGTGACTCATGTGTAGCAATCTCTCATTTCTTACTTAAAATAAATATATTTGTAAATGTTTTGTTCATAAGCTTTAATCATTTGTTCAAATAAGAAGGTTTTTATAATATCATTGATTCTTTTTCTTTACTGGTACTAGATTTAAGATTATATTCTAAAGCAAAGCTACATTAAACTAGAATTTTTAAAAACTTTATCTGTATATGTTTTCACCTGTAGTTTAAGAACTAGGAGAGAAATTTTGTTTCAATGGAAAACCATGTATTATCTCTAGCATACCCATCCAGGTGGTCAGATTCAAAGCCGAGTTCACCATTTTTGAACTATTTTGTCCCCTTTTTGTAAACTGCAATTCACCAATGGATATGTGGTCTCGCAGGGTCTTATCTGTCTCATGCAATAGATTTTCAATTGATTCCCTCCCCTTCTTTGGAAATAACCAGTTTGGGATCCTACCTGAAAATTAGATTGGAAATTGCTACCTTGCACAAATTATCAACTCTTAACCAAATTTCCAATTCCTTCACTTGCCTTTCCTATCTGACTATCCTCCAAACTAACTTTTCCAGCTCTCACACCTGACTAAAACTGAGAACTAAAGCCTATAGCCCAAATCCCTATCTAGACTCTAAGCTGCCTTGCAGTTGTCCTTTTCTCTCAGGATCTCCAGGACTCCAAAACGACTGCCATCACCCTGTAACATATTGTTCAACTGATTTTGCAGGAGCAAGGCCAACAAGAATCCCTGAGAGACGACTTCTTAGATTGAGCTTTGCTCCACCCAGGTTTACAATCAACTCTGCGTTGTTCAGTGATTAGTGATATTCATTCATCATGAACAAAAGTAAGGGGACTGACAATATTGAACTTTACCTGAGCCCTGTGCTCCGGGAAAGCAGAGACAGTTAAGAATCCTCCCACGCTTCTGTATTCCAGAAACAGATAACAGCAAAGAACCACTCTGCTCTTTCATATTCTGAGGTAAGACCCTTTCTACCCTTCTTCAGAAGTCTAGTAAGACTCACGGATTCATGGACCTGCCTCTATCACAGCTCAGGTTCACTTCCTTTTCTTCGAGGTGTTCCTTTTTAGTGAGCATTTTCTCTATCGCAATGGCCTGATTGAAAGCACCTGTTTAATTGTCTCATTCATTTTGTCTTCAACAGAACAACAACAACAACAAAACACTTCACCTGTGGTATCACTAATGCAACATTTTCTCTGCACTGGAAGTTTTAAAGGTTTACAGATATAATGTGAATTTATTGGCAAAACTTGACCCAGAGACACTTCTAAGTAGTTTCCAGATTTTTGAATCAAGCATATCAAAGAGGAGGTTCAAGCTGTTTGAGAATCCACAGGGAACAACTTAGAAGCTAAAGGGAGAGTGTGAAAGATGTTTCAACTTGAAAGGGAAAGAAAGAGGATGCAAAAGGACATTTAAAAACCTGTAGGTAAGAATAAAAAGCCACCTAGGGATTACGAAGT